GGTGGCCTGGCGGCTGATTTGGCCCACTGCCCTTTTTTAATTTTTTTAGTTATTATTATTAATAATATTTTATATTTTTGCCTTCTCAATGTGATACTAAAGCCGGATACTAAAGTGATAATTTCCGATTTTGTCATTCGATAATAAATCATAAATCGGTCTTGACTGGCAGCTTCACGTCTGTTCCGCCGCTTCCGTCAAACGGTTCCAAACAGAACCGATGCGTGGGACACGATGAAGGAGAGGAAGCGGCCAGAAGAAGCAATGTAGCAAAATTACTCTTCAGGGCTTCAAGTGCAGGTCAGTTTAATCTGTAGGCCTAAATACGCTACTGTAGTTTTGTCTTTATTAACCTAGTTGAGTATTAAACTGCTAGCACCTGTTAGGCTATCAGGGGCACCCTATTATTATCGTCATTCAGAATACTGAATCATTATCGATTGGAAAGTTACATTAATAAATTTAGCAGACAGATGTTCACATGGATTTATTGTATAGGAAGGGAGGAAGCTTGAGCAGACAGCAACACAAAAATGGGGAAGTCGTGGCCTAATGGTTAGAGAGTTGGACTCGTAACTCAAAGGTTGCGAGTTCGAGTCTCAGGTCCGGCAGGAATTGGAGGTGGGGTGAATGTATGTGAGTATACATGAATGATGTCTCTCCCACCTTCAATACCACGACTGAGGTGCCCTTGAGCAAGGCACCGAACCCCCAACTGCTCCCCAGGTGCCGCAGCATAAATGGCTGGCCACTGCTCTGGGTGTGTGTGTGTGCGTTCACTGCTGTGTGTGTGCACTTAGGATGGGTTAAATGCAGAGCACTAATTCCTAGTATGGGTAACCATACTTAGCCACATTTCACTTCACTTCAAAAATATCACAGCCTAATAATGCTATAGTGTGTTTAGTATTAGGATTTTTCAAAAAAGATATTGTACTGATTTTGACATTTAGGCACTTTAGAAAATGTGTTTTGATATATTTGTATGAAACATAGGTTTGTTAAATCTCGGGTATTTAAGTCATTTTAAGATAAATAACATTCTGTGATAACAAATTGCAATGAGGTGGTCATTTTGCAACAAGAAGGACACAGTTCTAATCCTAACAGTAGACCTGCTGGTGAAGAAGTGATAGGTACTAGAAAAAAATGGAGATACAGAGATATTGGAGAAAATGAAGAAAAGGAAAAGGGAAGTGAAGGTGCAGTTCAAGAGA